AGGCTTTCCATCAATATATAGCTTTGTGTGGTTCAGTAAATATTTTATATGAAAATATCAGTTTAGAAAATCAATACCAAAAACGTGTACAGCATCCTTAATGTTAAAAAATCATCATAATCAAGCATCAGCTTCTGGATCCATATCTCTGACATGTTTGTGTTCCAACTATATTACTATAAACAAAACTATATATATCTTAAGTTTGATAACCAACAGGAACTGTGCCATGCATGGCTTGTTTATTATTTGTACCATCAGCTTCTAAAACAGTTACATTTACAGTAATGAACGAACAAATAATACTTGCAAACGATCATCTAATTTACGACATGACATAACTTACTTCGCGATGTTATACCAATAATTCCTCTTACTCAGTCATGTACCATGCCAAAAATGTTACTTCTTTGTTTTGATGTGAAATTTAGGTAAAATTTTATTTTATCAGGAGCGAATGTTTGTGATCACTAGCTCGCTTCAGTAAAAAAACTCAGACCCGCCATGATGTTTGTTGCGCATTAGTTGACTAGCATGTGTCCTTTGACCCAATGGCTCAAGAATGTCATTAACCAATCAGAATGCTACATGGTAATGCCAGTGGAACCTAAAGTTTTTTTGAATGGTAGTGATCAGAAAAATTACATTGCGAAAGTAAAGCTATGATGTAGTAGCACGTTGTGTTGGCATGAATTTCTGTTGATAACTGCATGTTGGTTTTCAATAGAGGTGACTTGCAATTTTTAAAAGATAAAAGAAGTCTTGAAAGAAAAGTTTTGACATGATTTGCAATAATAACAGTTCAAATGCCACTCACGCAATAAACACGTTGCATATTCTTGAGTTGCATAAACATTGTGACTTTCGCTTTGACCATTTTATATTGGGATGGAATTGATTTGACAGAATTTTAGCTTTTAATTTATAGATTATGTCTATCGTTAGAAGTATTTACTTACAAACAAAAAGGTCCTAATTTTACAAAATTGACAAGTATTGTTTATAAGCCACCCCCATATCATGTGACTAGGTCCATTGTTTACAATTTCTAATTCACGACTGGCAGGATGCATGGCGGTCAGAACATAATTATAAAAACTATCGGACAATTGTTCTGGTCGGAAGTGTTTTCATGGTGGTCTCTAATTTTGAGTGCCGGTTGGGGCTGACCGCTTCTGACTAGCATGGCGATATCCATGCACATAATAGACATTGCTTACAATGCACAAGTACTGCTGCTGATATTTTTGGATGATCGGTGGTGAGCACAAGACATACATCTGTGTGTGCATGTGTCTGTGTTCCATTAATATCTAAAGAACCAATTATCAGATTTTAATGAAAATTAGTACATTGGTGGGCTAGAAAAATGCTCAGACCTGATTAGTTTTTGGTTGTTCTCAAGAACAATTCAATAGATTTCAATAAAACCTGATGCATAAATAGTCTGGGATAATTTGCAGACCTTATTAGTTTTTGTTGAAATTCATGCATACTAATGACCTAATTTACATATTAATTAGCCAATTTTAAACATATTCACTTGTTTCTCAAGTACCATTCAACAGATTTTAATAAAAATGGTACATAGATGCTCTGGGATAATGTGCATACCTGATTAGTTTTTAATTGAAATTCATATATAATAATGACCCAATTTGCATTCTAATTAGCCAATATTTAAAGTTTCCACCAATATCTCAACCATTCATCTGATTCAATGAAACTTGGAACATAAATGTTTATGGATAAGCAATATATATAATCAGTTTAGGGTTAAATTGTGTGCTTACTAATTACCTAATTTGCATAAATAAATTTATAGGTGCTTCACAGATAATATGAATACCACTCATCCAATTTTAATTAAACAAGGTACATGGGTGCATTTGGATAATCCACTGATCTGATTACTTCAGGGTTGAAATCCGTGCATATTAATTACCTGTTATAAGTTTCATGTGTCCTTTTCAATATGCATAACTGTAATGTACAGTGCACTGCTCCAGATAGTGACATACAACCGGTGCTATAATGAAGGCATCTGATAACGTGATATGTCTATATATGGTCATGTGACCTCAATAATATGCATAACAGCAATATCTTAAGTACTGTTGCACATGTGCTTACTCTAAGTATAAAGGTCAAAAATAAGTCTATGGTCAAAATAAGACAATGATTCATGCAATAAACAAAATTTTTATCAATGTATATCTTCAGCACATATATGTTTATTCTAAGTTTTTTTTTATTTTTAATATTTATGTTCATTCATTCTCTGCCATGCCTTGACCAATTACATTTAAATTTACATACATGTACATCCTGCTATACGAAAAAGCTGAAACAAGTTGGACAATATCAGGTTTACTTCATATGAAGTATGTACATTACATATGTTATCTCTGTTTTAGCCTGGTATCACAGATGAAATAAGGCAGAAATTAGGTGTGGCTGCTGTGCAAGCTGCAAGAGCTGTCAACTATGTTGGAGCAGGTATGTAAATTATCATTGTGTGTTTCCATGGTTTTATTATTAATTAAACACAAACACACACAAATATATTCATTATATTCAAATACATGTACATTCTTAGCTCTTTGTCTTTCACCCCTATTAACATTAATATTATGCACTGTGAATCGGTCTTTGTG